AAACCCTTTTTATTTAGGGGTGGTAAGGGCCCAACGGAGAACGTTTAGTCTGGTTGTGCTTTACCACATTGGGGAAAAAAAAGAATATCCCCTAGGAAAATTTTTTTTGACCTAAGAAAAGTTTTACACGTAAAACCAAGACATCCTTCTCCACAAACTTGACCATTCGGTTTTTAAGAGGCCATTTTCGCTTGCTTATTTCAAATCTTTTCCCTTTCTAATAGGTATCAGTTTCGTCACCATTAAAGACACAGCATCAGCAAAAACGGCCCCCTTGGGTATGGAGTTCCGCAGGGGGAAATGCCCTTTTGGGCCCCCGCTCTTCCTATATCATCAATGATCTTCCAAACGTATCCCCCCACCTGAAACCCCTTTTTTCTTTGTGACGAACGACTTATTTTCATCTCTTACCCTAATCTTGCCCCCCCTCAACACCCTTTTTAACGAGGAGCCCGATCAAAATTTTGACTTGGATGACAGCAATAAAATTACGCTTAAATACTATTTATGTTTTGGGGCAGAGAGGAAGGGACAAATTTTAAAATTAAGGGTCGACAAAACTCTAATTTTCCAGGGCATAATGAGGGCAAATTCCTAGGTATACCCTTGGGCAACAACCTGAAAATTTTAGCACCCTTTTCCCAAAACTAACCAAAAAAAAATATCCAAAACGGTGGGATCCCTCCAAGAACGATATACGGGGCCGCAAAAAGCCCTTCTCACACCCATACCCCTCACTTATTTATCCAAAAACCTCACCCCATGCTATTTGTGCTTGGGGATCAACTGCAGCAAACACCCCCCTAAAGCCAAATAATACCCAAAAAAAAGCGCAGTAAGGGAAAAATCACTAAATCCCATCCCTGGCAAAAACCCCCCCCCCCACTTTTTCTAGATCTAAACTTACTCCCTGTTTAGGGACATCCCACTTTCTTCTGTGCAATCTAATTTCAGGGCCTTAAACTCCAATATAACCTTGGGCCCAAAACGTTTTCTTGATAGTTGTGAAAAAGAAACCCCGGCATAAAAACCAGACACAAAACATCTCTACGAAAATTCCCGTGTCCCCACTAAACCCTTTACAAAAAATCAATTTTAAAGTCAAAGGCCCTAAAATCTGGAACCCTAAACCCGAGGGAATCTAGAAAATGCAGACACATTCATCACCTTCAAAATTTTCCATTAGAAAACAACTTATTTCCCGTACACCCCATTTAATAAATACACGAAAACCAAACCCGGGGTTCACACCCTTTCAATCACTCACCCCTTTGGACCATAAAAAAGAAATTTAATCCCCAAACTTAAAATAAAAGAAACCTATGTACTCCAATACTGAAACTATGTTTCTGTGCCCCAAAAAAAAAGCATTCACATTTCAACTCCCCAAACTAGATTTAGTCACTTAGCCATAATACCCAAATTACCTCAAATTTTTTAAATTTTTTTTATTTATTTATTTATTTTTTAACAATTTGAGCACAAAATACAGAGGTACAAAAAAATTTCAGATAAAAGCAGCTTTCCAAAACCACTTATTTCTATGGGATGCATTACGGGCTGGCTTAAAAATTAAAATTAAGATTAACTAAGCAAGATGGAAAAACAGTGAAAAAAACATTAAAGTAAACAGATTACTTAAAGCACAGTGAAATATTACCCAAAAACAAGTCATATTACCTGGGGCCTTTGGGGTTTCCTGGAGAGAGTTTCGGGGGTCAACGGGCCCCCCCGGCCCGGTCTGTGACCCCGGCCTCCCGGGGGGTTTAGGGGCCCGATCAAACCCGGCTGTTTTCCCGCTGGCTGCACGCCCAAAAACCCAAAGTACCCAGGGGGCAGCCCCGGTGATTTAGGAACTGATTTTGGTGCTTGTCCAGGGGCCAGGGTTGAAGATGCCCGGGGTCTGTTGGGAATCCCCCCTTTTGGTTTGGGAGGCCCGGGTTTAACAAATCTCGGGCCCCCGACATTATTGTATGGTCTCTTTAAAGTGCTAGTGGGCACCCCTTTCTTTTTTATTGGGGGGATGGTGCATCGTTCCCGCCCAAATTTTTTTTGGGGTTTCGTAGGGGTTTAGTGATTTTTCGTTGCAAGTTCGGTATAGTTTCCCCCTAGGATTTTTCCCGGTGTTATAAACAAAGTATCCCCTCCCCCCTGCGTTCCGGGAATACAGGTTTAGGAAAAACCCCCCAAAAAAAGGGTTTTCCCGGTTAAAATTTAGGTGTTTTTTTCCGTTATGCGCGCCGTTTAAAGTTCTCTGTTTCATTTTCTAGGTCGGCAAATTTTACCTGCCTTGAAAGGTGCTGTTAGAAATGCAGGGGGGGAATATTTTCCAAACCTAGATTTGAACAAGTGACCCGAAAAGGGGTCATCATGGGCTTGGGGTCCCCAGTTTTGAGGGGTTTCATTATCCATCCCGTCATTTTTCTAGCAGATGCGATTATACCCAAAGTTATGGTCCTTGAAAGGTTTAGATCCTCCCACATTTAAACACTCCCCCGGTTTTTTCGTTGGTGTTTCGCTCTATTTCGTGGCCAGAATTTTTATGGTTGCATTTCATTGTGTACATTCAGTTTGTATGGAGTATTTTTGTTAGGTAGTGTATTTAAAAATAAAAAAGTTAGATTGGGTTTTAGGTTTTAAAAATTTATGTGGGGTATAATTTTGAGAAACATTTAAGATATACAAATTTTTAAGGGTTAAATTATTCAGTATTTATTTGGGTTTTTGGTGTGGTAAGTGATCTTTTAGAAGAGACTTGAATTTTTTTAAAAGGTAGTGTTTTTTTTTATATTTACAGGTAATGAAATTCCCGATTTTTTGGGCCTTTTTTTGTGCATTGAGTTTTTTCCTAGCTTTAGATGGACACGAGGAACATCAAAAAGTGATCTGTGCCCTTGGGGTTTTTTGGTATGTGTTCTGTTGAGGTTGGCAAAGGGGATGTTTGAGGGGGGGGGTTTTTAAAATCAGAGTTAAAGTGTTCTATGTATGTAATGGTGCAGTAATAAGTATGGATGTTTTTGGGATGGTGGTAGGTTTGTGTATTGAATATTGGTGGAAGGGGTGCTGCCTTTATTTTAGAATTTGTTTCATTCTTAAAAAAAAAGAATTTTAAAATAAGTCTACCCCAAATGCCTAAACCCCGGGTAGGTGCTTGTGGTACACTCTGTAATCATTAAATTTAACTACATGTTTAAAAATACAATAACCAAATTCTGTTTAAATTTAACATTTTTAATCCCCTTTTAGAGAAAAAAACTTTTTAATTTTTAATTTGAAAAAAAAAAAATTTTTCCCCTTCTGTACTGTTTTTCTATTTTTTGCTTTGTGTTAATGGATTTGAGGATGGTGGGTGGGTTTGGGCCCGGGACATTTAGTCTCTTTTTTTGTAAAACTGTTTAGTTTTTTAGGGCCCAAAGCTTGTTATAGGAAATAAATGGGTTTTTTTTATAAAAAATTTTTAATACATCTTTGTGTCTTTTATATGTTTTAAAACTATTAAAGCTGCCTTTTTAAAATTAAATTTTCAGTTGTTTCGTTTTTTGCAGTCTGAAGGTAATTTTTGTAGTGTCTTTGGGGGAATTTACCCAGGTTGGTTATGAGGAAAAAGGGGAGGGTAGTGGTCTGTGTTATCTGTGATTTATCCTGATTTTTAAAAAGGGGGTATGGTGTTTTTGTCCCGTGTGGTCCCCAAAAAAGAGATACTTTTTCTGAGAGATTTTGGGAGGTTTTGTCATAGTGTTTTTTGAATTCCGTTATTTGTGGGTCCTGGTATGTAGTAATTTATGTTTAAAAACCCCCGTCAGTTAGGGGGTCTTTTTTCATTTTGTGCATCACTTATCAATTTCCCCAATTTTTCACTAAGTGGTAAATGTTTGACTGTTGGGAAATCTATAGAGTTTTTTGTCTGTGAGGTTTTTTTTTTCAGGTCTTTTTAATTTAAATTTAGCTATAAAAATATTCACCATGCTCATCCCCTTTTTGCAAAAATTATTGTACAGTCAAGTCGATTTGAGTAGTATAAAGCTGTTCCACCTCATTGTGGCTGTCCTACATTTTTGGGATAGCTGTGTATCCAGGGAAAAGGCAAAAGACCTTGTAGTGGGGAGGTTTTAGCCAAGTTTCTGTGAGTGTGATTTATTGACATACTGGGAAATTTAAAGGGGAATGAGTTTAAAGCTGTTTAGGTTTATCGTTGTTTGCTAAGGATCTGAATTGTAATTAAAAATGGTTTTGTTATTGTTAGCTCTGGAAAGTCTTAGCTTGGTCTGGGAGTGTAATAAAATTTCAGTTGCTGTTTTTGATTCGTGTAAGTCATTTAAAAAAAAGGGTTAAAAAGGGAAACAATGTTTTTAAAACCCTAAGAATGAGAGTGACCCCTAAACTAGGTTTTTTAAAAAGTATTGTGTTTAAATTTAAAAATTTTCGATACTTTAACTTTAAATTTTTCTTACTGCTAATGGATTGTTACACTAGTTTTTTTTGAAAAAAAAAAACAAAAAAAAATTAAAAAAAAATTTCAGGAAATTTCTTAAAAATTCGTTAGTCTTTAAATTTTTCTCCCAAATTCTCTGCCCTATAAAGGGGCTTTTGGGGCATGTTTCACCGGAAAATTTTTTATACGCCTTTGTACAAATGTATCATGCCCAAAAAAAAAATTAAATTTTTATTATTATTATTTTTATTATTTTATTATTATTTTTATTATTTTATTATTTTATTTTTATTATTGTAAGCCACTTGGTCTGAAAAATTGGAGGTGGGAAGCTTTTTCAGTGGGGCCCTTACAAACCCCACAAGGAGAACAGGAAGACAACAAAAAAAAATTAAATGTATCCCAAAAGGGAAAATTGTACTGAAACCAAAAAGAAGATTGTATGGGGAAAAAACCAACGAAGATTTTACTGTATCCAAAAGAAGAATAAAAAGATTGCACTGTTTTCCCGAGGGAAAACGGCCTTTAAAAAACTGCGTATATCTTGAAAAGGGAAAAAGAAAAGAAAAGGGTGGGAACACGCCACTGTATATGGAAGAAGACCACAACAAACTACACTGTATCCTGAAGAAGAAAAACAACACTAGTGTAAAAAAGGACATTTGTTGAAGGTGTGAAACATGTCTATCGAGGAGGAAGAGGACGCTAGTCTGAAGGAACTGGTCACCAAGACTCTACATAACAAGGGCGTCTTGGGTAAAATACAGGTGAGAACATTATATTCAAACCAAACATCTCACTGGAAATACTCTGAGTTGTATTTACTAATTTACTTACCAAATTATTACATTGCTCTTGAGGATACACATAAAATAGGCACATAAAATGCAAAGTTATGTAATCAGGGTAATAAAGTCGTACGAGGATCCCAATGGAAATAAATCATTTTTTTTTTTTGGGGGGGGGGGGGTTGTTATCCTAGGTAAATTACACTATGTATGATAATTGTACTTATGTGTATTTGTACCTAAATAAACTTACATGGTGGCAGATGCAGTTTAATGTGGACAGTTTCACATCAAGATGTATAAGTAATAGCTGTCCCAAGGTTATAGGTACCTCAACTTTACATATCCTTTATAACACTTCATTTGTGTAGTTAAATTTTGGTTACAATATTACAGACTAGATATAAATGTGCAGGTAAACAGGGGAGATAACAAATTTAATTCACTGTAACAGGAAACTTGTATAAACCATAGGCAGATTAGGGTCTCTGAACCTGCACTCTTTTGAAAGGAACAGAATGAGAGGAGATATGATTGAGATATACAAGTGGAAGACAGGTATAAATAATTTTTTTCCGAGGATAAATAAATGAGATATAAATTGAGTGCTGAGGATATGTGACCAAGAAAGAACTCAGAGCACTGGATGGCTAATACTGTACTTTATTCACAATACTTTAACTCCAGGTCAGAACTCGGCCATAATTTTAGTTTTTAATTAAAAGAGCTATCCGTGCCCTCACAAAAAATAGCTATTTCTTATGCAAACCATTATTTTAGGATCTGGAAGGCTCATTATAGGCAGTATTTTGCACTCTCAGGGTGCCTTGATGCTGATGAGGGGCTCTTGATCCAGAGAATTGAAGTTCCCTATCCCTTTCTTGGACTGAACTCATTGCCTTCTAGGCACTGTATGATCCCATGGGTTTAGCGCTTGCCATTCATTGTAATAATAATAATAATGTGACCCATGAGAATTGAGCACTTTTGTTTAATATACCTACCATGGTAATAATAATAATAATAATGATGTTCTGTAGAAATGAAGGAAGAGGGTACTGTGTACCTTATTCATTTATTTGCCATCAGTATAGAGAACCAAGTCTTCTATGCTTGGTTTTCATACCATTTATTTTTAATTAATTTTGGTTAAAAATTCTTTGCTATTATATTAATGAAATTTGTGTTTTTTTTTTTTTTTTTTTTGCAGGCACAGTTACGAGCAAGTGTATTCTTAGCTCTGGAGGATGAGTTTAAAGATGTAAGTATTATACCTACAACACCCCCCTCTGTCTCTGTCTCTCTTTCTCTCTCCTTTTTTTCAGTAATAAAATTTTCAGCCACATAAATTATATGCTTATTTAATGGGAAAATTAAATTACCAGTAAGGTGAGGTGATGTACATCTTAATAAGTTGAGAATAAGTAATTGCTTACTGCAGTTTCAGCACACTATAATACTTGCTTTTTCCATTCACTCCAGTTCAGTACAGTGTAGTATATGAAAGTACAGTTGGAATACTAATACAGTTCTATTCTGGCCTGTAATAATTATGGTTGTGTTCTGGTATAGTAAGGTTCATAGACCCTGACCCAGTAGATGCACTGGAGGACTCACAACTGTAAAGCCATCAGAAGACTGTGAAGTCAGTACATCCCTGGGGAGAAACAAGGAGGGCTTACACGGTCCTTCAGGAAAGGAAATCACAGGACATATTGTTGTTCTGGAGAATCAAAGGCCAAAATTTGGTTAGGGAGGAAGGTTAAGAGGAAGTCTGAAATAGAGAAACCTATTTGAAGGTATTAATGAATCAAGAAATAGAGGGGGGCCTGCACGTTTTGGCCTCGAGTCAAGGCCTTTTTCGCAGGGTATCTTCAACAGCATACAGTATTTGCTGAAGAGGGCCTCAGTTAGAGGCTGAAATAAACACCCTCTTCATTATTTATTGTTTCATTTAAGTTTCCAAGTGGGGCTGTCCATTTCAAATATTGTACATGATTAAATTATACAGTATTTGATTATGTACTGTTTTGCTGCTGTTGCTTTTGCGTATAGGTCAAAATAACTAATGAAAAATTATGTACAGTATCTAACTAATTTTTTGCTTTTTTTTTTATTTTACTATTTTCTTCAGAAAAACATACCCCTGGTCAGTACGTCAGCTAGAAAACTATTAGGGACCCCTGAGGGTGCCACTGCAGCTGCCCTCATTCAGGATTTTCTCCAGTGCCTTGGGCTCGAATTCTCCCTTGCTGTTTTTGCACCTGAGTCTGGACATTCAACTGTCTGGAGTTTTCCTGGTACTGAAGCCCTTACGAGTAATCTCAGCTTGAGGACTGAGAAAGGTCAGTGGAAAATCTGTCAGTGATGCTTTTACAGTATAGTAATACCTACTTAGCTACCAGGATGCCTTTCAGAGAAATCAGTTGCTTAACAATTTTTACACTAAGGGAATCCTATTCCTATACACATCCATGCTATTATTATCTGAGAAATTATTTTCTAAAATGCATTTCCTATGAACACTATTCTAATGAAAGTATCAGGCAACTGTTGCCTATAAAAATGTATTGAGTGTGAAGTTAACAGGATTCTTACAGTATTTTAGATTATATTTAATATTTTCTTAGTTGTTTTTAGCAAAATACACTTTTTATTTGCATCTGACTGTTTGGTGAATGCGTGGTATGCTAATCCTTGTTAAGTAAAAGGACAGAAATGCAACTAATGTGACATTTTATTGTAGCAAGAATTTATATATATATATTTTTATTCTGTGAGGACTGTGCAGTATTCACTTATTTTTTCTTACTCCTTACCTTTGTACAGTGCGGTACAGTACAATAGAGTACAGTGCAGTACAGTATAGTACAGTGTGGTTGAGTACAGTACAGTATAGTCAGATTATTTCTGACTTCTTTAAATCTTAGATAAGTTCCGGGGTTGTCATGTTTCTTCTCGTAGTTCCAAGTCCATTGTCTTTCATTGCTCTGCAACACTTCCTGCTAAAGCATTTTTTGTTATGTATTGTTTTCCCTGTTTTGAAATAAATAAGATAGTCCTGCCGAATAAGCGTGAAATGAAAACCTGTTAATTTTTTGCACTCTGGTAAGATTTCCAATTTTTCTTACTGTCTCTTGAACATGCAAGATGAAAGGTAGATCTTACAAACTTTACATTACATTCATTATGTACGTGCTTCCACTTTTTCCATGTTTTTCTTAATAGTTCTTAATCCTGTAATATTTTCTTTTCATCCTAGGAGGCCTAGTCTGAGACTGAGCCATGTGTAACAATCCCAACACCACAAACAGATAACAGCTTGTTTTGTATTTTTTGCCTAACTCCTCATACATCTTGTTTATGTCTATTCCTTGTAAGCTTGTATTACCCTCTAAACTTGTATTCCAGTTATTTTTTTGAATTGCTGCTTTAGATAAACATAATATCTATTCTTATAAGTACATATGTCAATTTTGAATGACAGCATTACTAGTTTATTATTATTATTAACACACTGGCCGATTCCCACCAAGGCAGGGTGGCCCGAAAAAGAAAAACTTTCACCATCATTCACTCCATCACTGTCTTGCCAGAAGGGTGCTTTACACTACAGTTTTTAAACTGCAACATTAACACCCCTCCTTCAGAGTGCAGGCACTGTACTTCCCATCTCCAGGACTCAAGTCCGGCCTGCCGGTTTCCCTGAATCCCTTCATAAATGTTACTTTGCTCATACTTCAACAGCACGTCAAGTATTAAAAACCATTTGTCTCCATTCACTCCTATCAAACACGCTCATGCGTGCCTGCTGGAAGTCCAAGCCCCTCGCACACAAAACCTCCTTTACCCCCTCCCTCCAACCTTTCCTAGACCGACCCCTATCCCGCCTTCCTTCCACTACAGACAGATACACTCTTGAAGTCATTCTGTTTCGCTCCATTCTCTCTACATGTCCGAACCACCTCAACAACCCTTCCTCAGCCCTCTGGACAACAGTTTTGGTAATCCCGCACCTCTTCCTAACTTCCAAACTACGAATTCTCTGCATTATATTCACACCACACATTGCCCTCAGACATGACATCTCCACTGCCTCCAGCCTTCTCCTCGCTGCAACATTCATCACCCACGCTTCACACCCATATAAGAGCGTTGGTAAAACTATACTCTCATACATTCCCCTCTTTGCCTCCAAGGACAAAGTTCTTTGTCTCCACAGACGCCTAAGTGCACCGCTCACCCTTTTCCCCTCATCAATTCTGTGATTCACCTCACCTTTCATAGACCCATCTGCTGACATGTCCACTCCCAAATATCTGAATACATTCACCTCCTCCATACTCTCTCCCTCCAATCTGATATCCAATTTTTCATCACCTAATCTTTTTGTTATCCTCATAACCTTACTGTTTCCAGTATTCACTTTTAATTTTCTTCTTTTGCATACCCTACCAAATTTGTCCACCAACCTCTGCAACTTCTCTTCAGAATCTCCCAAGAGCACAGTGTCATCAGCAAAGAGCAACTGTGACAACTCCCACTTTGTGTGATTCTTTATCTTTTAACTCCACGCCTCTTGCCAAGACCCTCGCATTTACTTCTCTTACAACCCCATCTATAAATATATTAAACAACCACAGTGACATCACACATCCTTGTCTAAGGCCTACTTTTACTGGGAAATAATCTCCCTCTTTCCTACATACTCTAACTTGAGCCTCACTATCCTCGTAAAAACTCTTCACTGCTTTCAGTAACCTACCTCCTACACCATACACCTGCAACATCTGCCACATTGCCCCCCTATCCACCCTGTCATATGCCTTTTCCAAATACCATAAATGCCACAAAAACCTCTTTAGCCTTATCTAAATACTGTTCATTTATATGTTTCACTGTAAATGCACCCCCTACCTTTCCTAAGCCTCCTTGTTCATCTGCTATCTTATTCTCCGTCTTACTCTTAATTCTTTCAATAATAACTCTACCATACACTTTACCAGGTATACTCAACAGACTTATCCTCCCTATAGGGTACAAATAAAAAAAATTAAAGTACCTATAACTGAGTGGTGATATTTGCAGTTTTGAACTGTAGTATTGGCATCCTTCTGCCAAGACAGTGATGGGGTGAACTATGGTGAAAGTGTGTTTTTCTTTTTTGGGTAGCCCTACCTCAATGGGAGATAGCCAGTTTGTTGAAAAAAAAATTGTAAAGCTAATGGTTGCTCTTATTCCTGTACCATTCCCTTCATAAGAGCCCAATGTTTATCAAAAGCTGTATTGAATTTTTGCATTTCCCACAATGAAATTTTAACAGTTCACCTTATTATTTAGCACTCCAAATTTTTGTCCTCATTCTTGTGTGTTTTGAGAGCATTGTGGGATGTGACAATTTGTGGTGTTGAATAACAGTAGGTGAATTAGCATATGCTTCCAATTACTTTGTTAAATTTGTTAACTTTAGATGCATCAGGTAGGTATAATTATATGAAAAGAATTATTAGTAAATTCTTAAACTTTATATGGTTTGCATTAAGTTTACAGTAAGAAAAAAAGATTTACTGTATATTGTTTGTTACTTTTCTAATAAAATTCTAATTTTCAGACCACAAGACTCCATTGCTAATGGAACTTCTGAGAGAGAGGAAATCTTCCGTCATTTCTCATACTGAGGTGAGCATTACTGTTGTGATACAGATAAACTTTTGTTGATTTCCTCTACAACCTATAATGTATTGGTCACTACTTCAGTATTATTACAGTGCTTCTTCTGTACTATATTTTAATGAATGTATTTTATGCTGAAATATTTCATAATCCTTTATTGTGTTTCAGAATAACAGCAGTGAAGTGAAACCGGCACTGAACAGAAATAAAGAACATTCCCAGTTGCCTGTTCTTAATGGTGTACTTCCTCACTCACATGCAACAAGTAGCAGTCAGTTACTTAAGACTCAACCAGAATCAAATCCTTCAAATATTTCCCTTAAAAATGGGGAACCTGATGGTCATGATGCATCTGAGAAAAGGGAGGCAGAGAAGAGAAATGCAATGAATAAAGCCAATAAAAACTTACCAAAAGAGACAGTAAATGATGGGACTGAGAATAGTACCGATGGTTTGTCTTTCAAGTTGACATCTGACAATGATTACCTTAGCTCAAGGAGTAAACCAGATAGACAAAAAGGAGGTGTTGACAGCAACACTGTTTGTGGGTATGCATGTTTTCAAATTAGTATGTAATATTTACTCTTAATTTTAGATCCAGTCTTTAGTACTCCTCTACTGGTTATTGAAATAAGTCATGTTAAATACTTCATGTAAAAGCTGAGAGTTCTGTTTTTTCTGCAGATTTCCTGCCTTGCCACCTGTGGAGAAGAATGACACTCATAACTCTCTGAATGGTAAAGAGAATCATTATTTGTTAATTTTTTCTCCTAAATGTTATGTAGCAATTTTTTTTTTTAAATATGTTCGCCATTTCCCACCAAAGCAGAGTGACCCAAAAATAAAGAAAAACCCAGAAAGAAAGAAAAAACTTTCATAATTCAACACTTTCACTATCACTCATACATAATCACTCTCTTTGCAGAGGCACCCAGATATGACAGTTCAGATGTCCCTCCAAACTACCAATATCCCAAACCCCTCCTTTAAAGTGCAGGCATTGTACTTCCCATTTCTAGGACTTGAGTTAGCAAATCAGTTTCCCCGAATCCCTTCACAGTATATTACCCTGCTTACACTCCAACAGCTCGTCAGGTCTCAAAAACTATACGTCTCCATTCTCTCCTATCTAACATGCTCACGCACACTTGCTGGAAGTCCAAGCCCCTCTCTAACAAAACCACCTTTACCCCCTCCCTACAGCCTTTTTGGGGCCGACCCCTACCCTGCCTTCCTTTCCCTACAGATTTATACGCTCTCCAAGTCATTCTACTTTGTTCCATTCTCTCTAAATGACCAAATCATTTCAACAGCTCCTCTTCAGCCCTCTGACTAATACTTTTATTATCTCCACACCTCCTGATTTCCACACTTTGAATTATTTTTTTTTTTTTATCACACTGGCCGATTCCCACCAAGGCAGGGTGGCCCGAAAAAGAAAAACTTTCACCATCATTCACTCCATCACTGTCTTGCCAGAAGGGTGCTTTACACTACAGTTTTTAAACTACAACATTAACACCCCTCCTTCAGAGTGCAGGCACTGTACTTCCCATCTCCAGGACTCAAGTCCGGCCTGCAAGTTTCCCTGAACCCCTTCATAAATGTTACTTTGCTCACACTCCAACAGCACATCAAGTATTAAAAACCATTCGTCTCCATTCACTCCTATCAAACACGCTCACGCACGCCTGCTGGAAGTCCAAGCCCCTCGCACACAAAACCTCCTTTACCCCCTCTCTCCAACCTTTCCTAGGCCGACCCCTACCCCGCCTTCCTTCCACTACAGACTGATACACTCTGAAGTCATTCTGTTTCGCTCCATTCTCTCTACATGTCCGAACCACCTCAACAACCCTTCCTCAGCCCTCTGGACAACAGTTTTGGTAATCCCGCACCTCCTCCTAACTTCCAAACTACTAATTCTCTGCATTATATTCACACCACACATTGCCCTCAGACATGACATCTCCACTGCCTCCAGCCTTCTCGCTGCAACATTCATCACCCATGCTTCACACCCATATAAGAGCGTTGGTAAAACTATACTCTCATACATTCCCCTCTTTGCCTCCAAGGACAAAGTTTCTTTGTCTCCACAGACTCCTAAGTGCACCACTCATTCTTTTCCCCTCATCAATTCTATGATTCACCTCATCTTTCATAGACCCATCCGCTGACACGTCCACTCCCAAATATCTGAATACATTCACCTCCTCCATACTCTCTCCCTCCAATCTGATATTCAATCTTTCATCACCTAATCTTTTTGTTATCCTCATAACCTTACTCTTTCCTGTATTCACCTTTAATTTTCTTCTTTTGCACACCCTACCAAATTCATCCACCAATCTCTGCAACTTCTCTTCAGAATCTCCCAAGAGCACAGTGTCATCAGCAAAGAGCAGCTGTGACAACTCCCACTTTGTGTGTGATTCTTTATCTTTTAACTCCACGCCTCTTGCCAAGACCCTCGCATTTATTTCTCTTACAACCCCATCTACAAATATATTAAACAACCACGGTGACATCACACATCCTTGTCTAAGGCCTACTTTTACTGGGAAATAATTTCCCTCTTTCCTACATACTCTAACTTGAGCCTCGCTATCCTCATAAAAACTCTTCACTGCTTTCAGTAACCTACCTCCTACACCATACACTTGCAACATCTGCCACATTGCCCCCCTATCCACCCTGTCATACGCCTTTTCCAAATCCATAAATGCCACAAAGACCTCTTTAGCCTTATCTAAATACTGTTCACTTATATGTTTCACTTTGAATTCTCTGCATAATATTTACACCACTATAATTTTTACAATCTTTTTTGTCCCCCTTCCCTTTATATAAAGGAATTATGCACACTCTGCCAATCCCTAGGTACCTTACACTCTTTCATACCTTTATTAAACAAAAATACCAAACACTCGAACACTGTATCCCCGCCCCCCTACTTCTAACATTTTTGTCATGATCCCATCAGTTCCAGCTGCTTTACCCCCTTTCATTCTATGTAATGCCTCACACACCTCCCTCCCACTCACATCTTGCTCTTCTTCATTCCTAAAAGATGTTATACCTCCCTAGCCAGTGCTTGAAATAACTGCCTCCCTTTCTTCATCGACATATAATAGTTCCTCAAAATATTCCTGCCATCTTCCCAATACCTCCATCTCCCCATCTACTAACTCCCCTATTCTGTTTTTAACTGACAGTCAAACCTTGGTTTTCACATGCCCTAGCTTTCGTATGATTTGGTTTTCGACTACTTTTTTCATCAAAATTTTGTACCAGTTTTCATACAGTTGAAAATGGTCCATACAGAGCTTGTCTGCCTGCCCGCGTGACTCATCCACTCATTTCCTGGAATTGAGCGCCCATACAAAGCATCCCATGTGTTGGTGACTCGGCCTGCTTTTGTTTCTCGTTGAGTGAGCATCACCCCGCGCGTTCATCCGAAACATTTCGTAATAGTCCATTTTTTGTTTGCTTATTGAGTGCGACTGCTAAATAAACCACCCTGGGGCCAATGAAAGTTCTGAATGCCAGCCCTTTGATAAAGAAGGCGAGAAACATGATAGAATTCAGGAAAGAACTCATAGTAAAGTACGAAAGTGGCGTACGTGTGGCCGATCTCGCCAGGATGTATGGGAAGTCTGCATCAACAATCAGTTCTATCCTGGTGAATAAAAAAAAATCAAGGAAGCGGATGTTGCGGAAGGGGTAAATGTGCTAACGAAACAGAGATTGCAAACAATCGAAGATGTTGAGAAGTTGTTGGTGTGGATCAACGGAAAACAGTTAGTGGGAGATAGTGTTTTGGAGGTGTTAATTTGCAAAAAGGCAAGGCAGTTGCATGCGAATCTCGCAAAGAAAATGCCTGGAACAAATGCTGCTGTTAGTGAATTTAAGGCCAGCAGAGGCTGGTTCGACAAATTCAAGAAGTGAACTGGCATACACAGTGTGGTCAGGCATGGCAAGGCTGCAAGTTCAGCCCCACGTTTGTCTGAAGAATTTGTTGATGAATTCAAGGAGTACGTAGAGGCTGAAGGATTCCTCCCCAACAAGTCTTCAATTGTGATGAAACAGGCCTCTTTTGGAAGAAAATGCCAGAGAGGACCTACATCACGCAGGAGGAAAAGGCACTGCCAGGACACAAGCCTATGAAGGATAGGCTAACTCTTTTGTCCTGTGGGGATTTCCAAGAGAAGTCTTTACCGGTGTATCACTCTGCAAATCCCCAAGTGTTCAAGAAAAACAATGTCATCAAGAGTAAATTGTGTGTGATGTGGAAGGCTAACAATAAGGCATGAATCACGAGGCACATTTTCATTGAGTGGGTCAATGAAGTGTTTGGCCCGAGTGTGAAGAAATACCTCCTGGAAAATCAGTTGCCACTCGAGTTCCTCCTGGTAATGGACAATGCTCCTGCTCATCCTCCAGGCCTGGAAAACCAGTTGTTGGAGGAGTTTAGTTTCATCACGTGTAGTTCTTACCCCCTAATCCCATTTCCTCTCATCCAACCCCCAGGGACCAGCCGTTTTTAAAACTTAAAAAACTCTCCCCAAAAGCACTGTTGAAAGGTGCTTTGAAGCGACCTCAGAAACGATTAACCCAAAGAGATTTCTGGGGAATCGCTTAAATTCCCCAATTGCTAAGCCTTAAAAAGGCTTGGCGGGGAGGACTTCCGGACATGAACTCTGCTTGTAAAAATTTGGGGCCAGAATGGGGCCTTGAGAAGGATTTTAAAGGGGGTTTGAGGGACCCTGATGACCCATGCCTATTGTGGAATCTTTGTTTTTGGGGGAAGTCCATGGGGTTGGATGTGGGGGCCAGGATTGGAAGGTTGGTAGCAAACCACAGGGAAGAGCTAACCACTGAAAGCGCAAGACCTTCAGCGGGAACGAAACGACAGCAGCTGAGGAAATTGCTTCAAGGAAGGGGAGAGGGGACGAATGTGCCTTCTTCAGTGATTAAGGACTGTGCGAAAAGGGAAAGTTCAACTTTTGGGGAAATATATCACCCTAGAAAGACCCAAAAAAGTTTCCCCCGGACAGATTTTTTGTGCGACGGGGGGTCCGTGACCTAAAGCGGGTCTAGGCCAGTAAAAGACAAAGAAAAAAAGAAACCCCCGGGATGGGGCCTTGATCCTGTTTCCTTATGGAGGGGGATTCACTTCCAAAAAAAAACCCCTTCCTCCTCCCTCTCCCCTCCTCCCATTTTCCCAACCCCAACAAGATCTCAATGAAGGTAAAAGTGATGTTAAATGTTCTTTTACCATTTCTTTTATCATTTTTAATTATTATACTCATTGTTTTCTGTATGTAAAACTAAGTTATTCTTTTAAAAAGTTTTTTTTGTTAATATTTTTGGGTGTTGGAACGGTTTAAATTTGGGATTTGCATCATTTCTTATAAAAAATATTGCTTCATTTTCATAAAAATTCCCTTTTTGCAACTTTTTGAACGGATTAATCACGAAAACCAAGGTTCCACTGTATTTAATTATTTTTATTTTTAAATTTGGGGAAGCTTGAATTAAAATTAGTATTTGAACTTTTAAATACTTAGTTTTTTTCCCTTAGGGAAATTATAAAACTTTTGCAATCCTATCTTTGTTTGGGGTTGTGGTATTGAAGACTGTTTGAAGATCAAATTTTCTTTTATTTTTTTAAGTTATTAAGGTCTCTTTAGTTTATAGTGATACAAAAAAAGTGCATTTGATTAAACTTAATAACTGCAGTAAATATGCACAATACACGTAAATATGGTTTTGATATTTTTCTTAGTGATTCAATCTGCCATAAGGGAAAAATGAGAAGTTATGTGAGTAGGTGGCCAGGGGACTAACTTTTTTTAATCCTGGGCACCTGGCACCACTCTACAAAAGTCA